TTCAATTTCTCACAATTTGAAATGCCTCACCTAGTTTTGCCAAATGTCAAATTGACAAAACTAGTTTTGTCAAAAGTCAAATTGACAAAACCAGTTTTGGCAAAAGTCAAATTGCCAAAACTAGTTTTGACAAAAGTCAAATTGCCAAAACTAGTTTTGGCAATTGGAAACGTCCAATGGCCAAATTCAAATTGCCAAAACTAGTTTTGGCAAATGTCGATTTGCCAAAACTAGTTTTGTCAATTTAAAACGGCCAATGGCCGAAGTGAAACGTCCAAACCTAGTTTTGGCAAAACTGCACTTGCCAAAACTAGGTTTGGCTGTTTTTTTCGGCCATTGGCCGTTTTCGGCTTTTGAGCCTAACATATACATAGTATACAAATATACGTATATACATAAGAAAATTGCTTTCAGAAAGTTATCATGCTTTGATAAATTAAAAACATCCATTTTAATTACAACAAACCGGGTTTTTATCACTAATATAAAAGCAGATGCTTTTAAAGTAATAGGATTTTATGAAAGCAAAAGTAGAAGAAGAAGAAAGAAGGGAATGAAAAAATACACCTACTCAGTTGTCGTATAAATATTTAATAAACAAATTTTTCCGAAAAAAAATTTTCAAGATAATTAAAATTACATATTTTATTATATGTGGAAAAAAATATCCGTTGCGCTCGATTTTGTTCTTTTTACAAAAACAAATTATTCATATCTGATAATGGAATCACATTAATTTTTTATATAGAGAATAGAATTAATTTAAAAAATAATTTTTGTTTCTTTTTTTTTAAATTATTTCACTTGATTTTTATAGCAGCTTCTGAATTATGTTGTATAAAGAAGATTAAAAAGAAGATATAAAATTTTAATATTGGATTAATTTAGTGAGAATAAGGAGAGAATACTTTTAAATATGAAATAAATTTAGGCGAACGTCCCTTCCATTTATATTGTTTTCTAACTTGAAAGATGGGATGTTCCATTGTTGAGTCATATAAACTGAGATAATAGCATTCTTTGCAGAAAATAGTGCATCCACTTTACGACAGACGAGCAGCTCTGTATATAAGGTATTCGGTGATAAAACTCGCTCGTGGATATAAAATTTTTATTGGTCAAGGAGAAACATTGATGTTCGAAAAATGAACACCATCGCGAAAAGTTTCGAATTAATCGCGTTAACGCCTATATAACAAATCCTCATTAGAAGTAATGTACAACCTTCGCACAATCTTAATATAATTTCTCTTCTTTTTTCAAAATTTTCTCTCCTCATCAGGTCTAAGATTGACTTTAAAACGTAAAAAAAATTTCTTTATTTATTCTTATTTCTTTATTTATTTTATTGCAATAAAACTCATTAATAAATCAATAAATAATTTAGTAAATAATGTAAGTAATTTAATAAAATAAATAGTAAAATAATTAATATTTAACCATTTAATAAAATTCAATAAAATTCAATAAAATTTGAATACAAAATTCAGCGCATTTACAAAAATTTCATTTTGTATTTCCTTGAACCTTTCACTGAATTCTAAATTAAATTATTCAAAACTAATAATTTTTTTAAATAAATATTCAAACACTTGTTATTTATTTTAACACAAAAATGAATATTTTAGAAATTTCAATTTCAAACCGTCTGATTGTTTAATAATTTCAAAAAATTATAACTATGACCCTTACGAATTTTTAATTATTTTATAAAATCTGTAACTAAATTTTTTGTCCAAATCAATGATGTATTTCTAATAATTTATAATTTTCAATAATATAAGAGAACTCAATTATCTAAATACAAAAATTCAATTTTTTGTAAAAAAAAAATGTAACAGTAAAACTTCATGGTTTTTTTTGTAAAAAGTTATTCAGTTGAATTATTAAAAAAAATACATAAACAAAAAAATTAGAAATAATTGGTTTTTAAAAAATTATGATAAAAAATTCTTAAAAATGTTTTCTTACAAATAGTTCAAAATAATTTTTAAAAGACAATTGAAATTAGAAATATAATAAATATTTTAACTTTTCTAAAATTTTCTTATTTATTATTTATTTTCTAAATAATTAAAAACTTTGCAGTAATTTTGTAGTAAAATGTTTGAAAATAATGGAATTTAAAAAGAATATTATAGGAAATTATTAGAAAATAATCAAATTTTTAATGAATTTTAATTAAAAATAAGAAAATACATTATTTCTGCAAAATTTAAATTAAATTTTTAGAAGATAATTTAATTTTTCAAAATTATGATAAAAAAAAGGTAAGAATAAGTTTTTTAAAAATATTCCAAGGTGATTTTTCGAAAATCATTTAATTACTTCACATAATGTTTGGATAATTTAAAAGATTAAACAATTTTCTAAGGAATATCAATTAAAGATTTTTGCAATGATTAATTTTTTTGAAAATTTCAATAATAATTCTAAACAATAAGTTTTTGAAAAAAAATTTATTTACATATTTCAATATCTATATATTTAAATTTAAAGAAAATATTTTACTGAATAAAAAAATAATTGAATTTCTTAAAAGAATTTTTGAAAAATTTTAAAAATTATTCAATTTTTTGAAAAATTGAAAATTATTTATTTCTTAAAAATTTTTTATATTGTAATTGTAGAAACTTTTGTGAATTTGAATTTCAGTTAAAATTTTTTACAATTTAAATTAGAGAATTGAAATTGAAATTAAAATTTAGTAAAATTTTTTGAAAATAATTGCATTTTTTACAAGTATTTCACTATAATTTTTGAATATCAAGTTTTGAAAAATTTTAATTACATAAAAATATGAAGTTATACGAATTCTCCAAAATTTCAATGATGAAGTAATTTTTTTTAATTTTTAATTTACTCTTTTTGAAGATAATTGAATTTTAAAAAATTGTAATACAAAATTTTAAGAATTAATTTTTTCAAAACAATGTAAGTTTTTTAAAATAACTGAATTTCTTAAAAGAATTTTTGGAAAAATTTAAAAAGTATTTAAGTTTTTGAAGAATTGGAAATGATTGATTTCTTCAAAATTTTTACAATACCTATAATTGTAAAAACTATTGAGAATTTAATTATTTTAAAAAATTTGCAATTAGAATTATTTACAATTTGATTTTCTAAAACTTGAAGGAAATACCGGAAAAAAATTATTTTTAATAAATTTTTAGGAAATTTCAATTATTTAAATTTTTTTATTATAAATTCGCAAAAATTTCATTATTTCAAAATATTTATTCAAAAATAATTTTTGAAATATTTGATTATAGTTATTTTTCCAATTAAAATTATTTACAATTTTATTTTCGAAAATTTGAAGGAAATACCTGAAAAAAATTAATTTGAACAAAGTTTTAGGAAATTTCAATTATTTAAATTTTTTTAATTATAAATTCGCAAAAATTTAATTATTTCAAAACAATTATTCAAAAATAATTTTTGAAATATTTGATTATAGTTATTTTTCACACTATAAAAATCGAAATAAGTAAATAATAAATAAATGATATATTTATTTATTTGTAACAAATAAAGACACCAAAAGAGTGGTATTTTGTGGCAAAATATTTTAAGGAAAGAAAAGTTTACCTAGAACAACGATAAGTTTCTCTAAAATAGCGAAAGCCTTAACCTGAAACAACTAAAAATTTTGCTATTGTATTAAAACTTGTAGGTAAATTTTTTTTTCGTGTTGGTTGAAAAGTCGAAAAAGTCGCATTTTCTGAAAAGTATAGTGGATGGAAAATAGTTTTTTCCGAATACAGTCGAAAAGAATACAAAAAGTCATATTATCCGTGGCCTGTTCTTTCCAAGATGGAAATAAACTTTCTGTCTTCCATTTGAAACGATAATAACAGTACATTTTTTTTTTATTTTTGGATTTAATTTTTATTCTCATCAGCACCTTTTTTTTTTAAGCACATTGTTCAAGCGTAACGAATTTTGTATACCTACCATCAATCTCCGAAAAAAAAGAGCGTTAGAGTGAATAAATAAAAATTCTGAAATATGATTACCACATGATCATTACCTTGAAGCAGGATGTGTCCATCTCAAATAAAACAATTAGACACAGAAACGAATTGGATATGAAACTGAAAGTTACGAGATGCTTCTTTGGCGACTTTGAAATAATGCGGCTTTTATAAGCAATCTCATGGTAGAGATCTCAAGAGAGGATACAAATTAATGTCTTCCACGCTATTATACCCCTTATTACATAGCTTAATTGGATTAATGATTTAGATGCACTTCGTTCCTTCGTTTTTGATACGTGATAGGTGATTGACTAGAAGTCGAGGGGCCGCGGAAGAAGGCGCATTTCTTGTTTCGCAAGCCAATGACATTTGAACTAATTGCATCATTCTCAGAAAATCAAAGAGCAATCTCTTAGCAAACGAAAAAAATATATATAAGTAATCCAGTTTCGATAGATTTAATTTTATTTTCTAGAGTATATAGAGGAGAATGGGTGCGGTTGACACGTTGTGCAGTTGGCACAAATGGAATATCGACGATTAGGATTTTAATAATTATTAACTATATTAATCTTCGTATTCTTTCATTCATTCTGTAATTATATTCAGTAAATATTCTTGTAGTCGAATAATTATTTAATAAATATTTTTATACTCAAATATTCAGTAAGTATTTTTATACTCGAACATTAAATTAAATTTGAATTTCGCGCCAATATAATTCCGTAAAATTCCGCCTAGGTGGCATGAAAATTCGCTCGTAAATGAGATGAAGTACAGGGACTATTACTCAAGTGTCTAATTAATTAAATATCTAGAGCAAATTCAATTCAAATGTATAAAATTTAGAGAGCTTTGAGTTTGTATTTATTTCTTTTATTTTTAATAATAATGACACTAATAATAAAATAATAATAATAATAATAATAATAATAATAATAATTATAATAAGAACCGAAAAAAGAGGCGAATATTGAAAAGTTGGTATATTTCTGTTTGTCAAACAAAGTTTGCTTTCAGCCAAAATCTTACGAGTTTGGATATGCAGTAAAGGATGAAGCGACCGGAAATGACTTTGGACGAAGAGAGACCAGTGATGGTGAAACTGTACGAGGGGAATACAGGGTTCAACTTCCGGATGGAAGAACACAAATAGTGACTTACACGGCCGATTGGAGGACCGGCTTTCATGCTGATGTCCGATATGAGGGTGTTGCCACATATCCCGACCAGTACAACACGAACAATAATGGCTACAATAACAACGCCCCTTCTGGTTATGATTATCCCGGAAACAACATTGACAACTCCTATAACACTGGTAAGTCAATTTTTCCTCTTAAAACAACCGAATGGCAATTTTCACCTCCAAACAAAAGCTCACCTAAAATAAATTTTTTTTTCTAACACAAATTCTTTTCTAAAATATTTTTTTTGTTAACAAAAATTTGGCACCAAAATATTTTTCTTGACAAAAAATTATTCATAAAATTATTTTTCTTAACAAAAAATTTTATCCATAAAATTATTTTTGTTTCAAATAAAAATTTCGTCAATTGTTTCGTTTCGAACTTCGTTCGATTCGAAACAATTGACAAAATTTTTAAAACAATTAAAACAGTTTAAAAGTAAATTGTCAAAAAAAAAATTCTTTTTTAGCAAAAAAAGAAAAATTTTGTGATTATTATTTTTCAATCCCTTGAAAAACAATTTTCGAAGAGTTAGAGGAACAAATTAAGTGGATTAAGTTTATATGTTTTCTGCAACAAGAACACAACAAAGTTTAATGCATTGAGACAATGGAAATTTCCGGGTTTCGACTGCGCCTCTATTGTTGAAACTTTATCGAGTGTATGTGTGGCTTTGATACAAGATCTAGCAACCAAAACACCATCCCTCTCCCCCCTTTCACTCTCACTCTCTCTCTCTCTCTCTCTCTCTCTCTGAAACTGAAAAGCTTGACAAGGACGAAGTGATGCATGTTTCAGGTAACAATGCGGGTTACAACAATTACCAGAACGGAGGCGGAAATTATAATGCTGGACCCAACTATAATTATCAGTACGGCTCCAACTCTGTGGACAACAATTACAACAGCAACAATTTCAACAGCTATGCAGGATATTCGAGTAATTCCTTTGGATCGGGGAGTCCAACACCTACATATGGAACACCAGCTTACCATTAAACGTTCAGATACTTCTTTAAAACAAACACTTCTCTTTTACCTCTTGTTTTTTTTCAATTTTTTGTCAAAAAAAAAAAATTCAATTTTCCATGGGGAAAAAAATAAGTTTAATTTCTAAATATATAAATAGCATCATCTACATGACTAGAGGAATTAATAATGAAATTCTCTCTAAAGAAAGTTCATTAACTCTTGTGATAATTTATTCTATTTTTGATTGCAACATTCTGTTTTATCCATATTGCCAAAGAAGACAGAATCAATCGAAAAGAAAAGAAAAATTGCTTTTTTTTTCTTAATTTTTATTTTTGACATTTTTTTATTCTGTGTTACATGGAAATAATATTTATAGAGAATTATCCACGTGCAACTATATATAGCTGTTAATTATGTACGTGAATTTATAAATTATTTTTACCATTTCTTGTAACTACGGAATATTTTCCGGAAAATTACAATACCTGTAGGGAAAAAATATAAAAGCAACATTTACTATTTACAAATTAGACTTTACAATTATGCAATTAATTTACAATTTACAGTTTAATTAAAATTACAAATATAATTTACTTGAGAAAAATAAAAGTATATTTGTCATAGAGACAACATTGAAAAAAATTATTTGATTGAAATAACCGATTAATTGACTATTATTAATTAATTATTGAATTTAATCAAATAATATTTATTAGAGTCAATTAAATGGTTCAGTTCATATTTGCTTCAAATACTGAAATTATTGATTCAAATATAATTTAATTGACTCTAATAAATATTATTTGATTCAATTAAATATTTACTTGATAATAGAAAATTAATCGGTTATTTGAAGCAAATAAATTTTTTTTTGTCAGTGCAGTAAGGGATTTATTTTATTCAAATAAACTTCTATTTGTTTTAAGTAAAAATTTTAGTCGACGAATATAAAATTTTTATTTAAACCAAACAAAAATTTTTGTTTTAAACGAATACGTAATTTTGAAGACTCTGAGTCAAATATATCAGGGTGTATAATTTAAAATTTAGAAATTGCAACTTTCGAATTATAAATTAAAATTTAGAAATTACAATTTACAAATTAAAATTTATAAGTTACAATTTTCAATTTACAAATTAAAATTCAAAAAATTGCAAATTAAAATTTATAAGTTACAATTTTCAATTTACAAATTAAAATTCAAAAATTGCAAATTAAAAGTTAAAGAAAGTGAAACTTTCTACAATTAATAATTTTATAAATTTATCTCGTTTACGAGCGAACTTTCATGACATCCAGGCGGAAATCAACCGAATTATATTGGGGGGCGATATTCTAATTGAATAAAAAAAAAGCGAGAAAGTAAAAAATATATCTGCTTTCTGTCAAATTTTACTACTTTTGTAGAGGAAATTTTTACTTTGAAGTAAATTTTCAAACTAAAATTTTTATTCCAATTACTATTATTTTCAAAAATAAATTTTCGAAAATATATTTTAATTTACTTTTGAAATAGTAAAATACCACCGGAAATAGCAAAAAATTGTCAGAAATTGCAGATCATTTTTTAATTCCAATTAATTAATTAATGTAGATAGTAAAAATTACTTGAAATTTTTTCCCTCAGGCAAAAACCAGTCTTGTATAAATAACATAGATAATATTTTTACATAAATGTAAAAATTCTTCCCGTAAGTTTAGAGTAAGTTTTTGTAACATTTAGCCTTAAGGCACTGTATATGAATACATAATCATTAAATCTTCTTTGATATTATGTAATATTGTTTTCATTTACAGTTTTTCCTATTATTATTTTCCCTACTTTATTTACCGTTTTTATCTCATAATTATTATTCGACAACTTAAAAAAAGAGGAGCAAAAGCAAAAAGACAGTAGAAAAAGTTTTTATTCTCCAAACATTAATTATTATCATTAAATTAAAAAAATACGTTTTGTTTGCTATAATTCAAATTTTTTTTTTTATCGATACAAATAAAATCTTTTTCCTTCAACTAATTTCATATATTTACTCAATTTTATATTTGTTTAACAACTCCCATTGTGAAATGATAATAGGTTCAAGCGCATTGTTTTTACGTATTTTTTTATGAACAAAAAATAAAAATATTCTTTTGTACCAAAAAAAAGGTTTTCTTACTAGAAATAAATTCTATTACAAAAACTTAAAAAATAAAATTTTATTTCAAAAATTTAAAAACTAAATTTTAATATCAAGGTAAATAAATTATAACAAAAAATTAAATATTTCTTCTTATATGAAAACAAAAATATATTTTTTAACAAAATATATTTTTAATATATTTTTTTTTATTTATTTTTTAATGAATGAAAATTTTAAAAGTAAAACAAGAAGATTTTTTACTAAAAAATAGTTTCAAACCCAAAATAAATTATTATTTAATTATTATTAATAACTTTATTGTAAATTAAATTCAATTTAAAATTTAATATTAAATTATTATTATTAAAAACATTTTTTACTAAAAAAACGTTTAAAATAATATTTTCATATAAAAACATTGTTATTATTACTATTATTACTATTTTTATTATTATTACTATTATTATTATTACAATTATCAATATTTCAGGCTAAATGCAAATTTTCCATCTTATTCATCGTTTAAATGGAATATTTGAGAAGCAATCAAGAAATTTCAGTAAAACCACTAAGTGCTTTGCAGACAAAAATCTGGAATAGAATTTTTCCCATTTAGGAACAATTTTGGTACACACGTTTGAAGAGGCACACATTCAACGGATATAAAACACGGGAGGTGTATGATCTGCACTCACAGTAAACACACTGAATCGCTACTTTCTCCAATGCATAAAGTTGCAGTAGAGAAAAAAAATATACATATATATTCAGTCACGTAATACTAACGTCTGGATGTTCATCGCAAAACATCTTGCTCACGATGATATCTTAGCGTGAGAATCAAGTGAATTACATTTTATTACGAGGTTTAACAATCTGCATTAAATTTTTTTTTTTAATTCACTTGACAAAAGAAACGAAAACTTCCTAGTTGGAAGGAAAGAAAAAATTATTTTCGTAAAAAGAATTTATTTTTTATTCACTACTTAAATAAAGTATTAATTAATTAATTAATTTATTTATTTATTTATTTATTTATTTAAAGTATTTTATGCCAAAATGCCTAGAAATTGATTCTTCTTGAATTTAATTTTTTCTATTTTATTTTGATTTACTTTTTTTTTATCTCGTTTGCGAGAGAATTTTCACGCCATCTAGGCGGAATTTTACGGAATTATATTGGCGCGAAATTCAAATTTAATCTAATGTTCGAGCATAAAAATATTTACTGAATATTTATTTGAGTATAAACATATTTATTAAATAATTATTCGAGTATAAGAATATTTACTGAATATAATTATTCGAGTACAAAAATACTTATTAAATATTTATTTAAATAGAAAAATATTTACTCTTCACATTATTGTTATATTCGAATACATATTGACTAAATACTTTTATACTCAAATAAATGTGAAATAAATATTTTTAAACTTGAATAAATATTAATTAAAAATTTTTGTCTGTAAATAAATAAAAATAAATATTTTTTATACTTGAATAAATATTAATTGAATATTTTTATCTATAAATAAATAAAAATAAATATTTTTACATTGGAATAAATATTAATTAAATATTTTTATCTGTAAATAAATAAAAATAAATATTTTTACATTCGAATAAGTATTAAAAAATAAATATCGTAATACATGAATAAATATTTAAGTGGACATTTGAATAATGTATTATATGGAGAAAAGCGAGTAATGTAAATACATAGCTGGGAACTATTCGAATAAATTAAACAACTAAACTTTGAGTTGGTACAGTGAAATATAAACAATTCAGACAACTTGAGGGTAACACTTTTGGTTCAGTAAGTACAGAAGTTACTCCCGGAAAACGATTACCAATAGTCGTTTGAAGAACAATTAAACATTTCAATTAGACACATTAAATTTAATTATTTCAATCAGATGCACATTGATTGAGCCTTCTTTATTGTTTAATTAAATTGCGGTCGTTTAATTTGTATCAAATAATTAATTCCCCACATTTCAAGTTTGATTGCCCAGAAACTATTCAACTTGACAAAAATTATTTTTATTTTCTCCACAATTTTTTTCCTATTGTGAAGATTTTAATTTTAAAAATTAATTTCAAATATAAAAAATTCAAAGATAAAAAATAGAAAATAGAAAAAATATACTTTGAATTAAATAAATATAATAAAAAAATTTAATAATATATAAATATTTAGAAAAGTGCGAATAAACTTTTGCATATCCATAATAAAGTGAATTGAAAAATCAAATTTTAGGAATAAAAATATGTTAAAAGGAATATAAGAAGAAAAGTAATATAATTAAGTCTCTGCAATAAGTTTCTTTGCATTTTTTATTTTTTTATTACCATCTTGAGAGTGACGGATGCACAGCTCGTTATTGCATTATTGCATAAATCTCATAACTTCCTAACATCATTATTTCTGGCACAAATTTAATAACTTGCAGGCACAGATAACAAGGGAGCGGGTAATCTTTAAGTCATTGAAGGTCTTCCTTGAGGAAATTTATTTATTTTCTTTTTTGCGCTCAGATTTTATCAAACAGTTATTTTCAACGAAACTATATATTGATTTTTAATAAAACTTGAGAGAGAGGAAAAAAAAATCTCAAGAATCAAATTCAAATTGAAAATTGCAAAATCTTTATTAAATTCACTTGTCCCTTTGAGGATTATTAAAAGTTTTTATATTCACGTCTTCATTTTAAAAGTTTTTTTTTTCGTTAATAAATTGAATTTATTTTTTGCTGTAAATCTAGGTAGATTATTAAAAGTTTTTATTCACCTCTTGATTTTTGAAGTATTTTTTTCTTTTTCACTTCTTGCGCTGTGTATGAAATTAAATTTTATTTTAAAATCTAGTTATTCATATATATATGGGCAATTCTACGTGAGATTTCAGTCGACCTCTTAAAATCGGCCAAAAATATTTTTTTTCTATTCTGTATTGAAAAAAAACAGATACGTATTTTTTTTTTATTTTTTTGGAGGCCAAATTTTTGAGTTATGAATTTTCAAAATTTTCGCTTTTTAAATGTAGGTATATTTTTAATGTCAGATAACTAAAAAAATATTGCTTCTTTTCATTTTTTGACAAGAGAAAAAAAGTTTTGTTTTTCTCTCTACTTTTGAATAATCATAACAAAAAAATTTTTTTTTCATTTTTTATTAAAAAAATAAAAAAATTTTATAAACAAATTAATTTTTTTTAACTTTGGGTATGATAAATTTTTAATTTTCTTTTTTTAAAA